CTAGTAGTTAGTTTTAAACTATTAGTTTAGTTTTAGTTAGGTTAGTAGTACTTAGTAAGTTAGTTTTAACTAATTAAGTTAGTTTAGTTAGGTAGTAGTCTGAAGTAGTTTTAACATATTGTTTTGTAGGTGAGCTGAAGTAGTTTTAACATAATGTTTTGTAGGTGAGCTGAAGTAGTTTTAACATACTGTTTTGTAGGTGAGCTGAAGTAGTTTTAACATATTGTTTTGTAGGTGAGCTGAAGTAGTTTTAACATATCTTTTTGTAGGTGGGCCTAAGTAGCATAATATATGTTTTAATGAATGGGCTTAAGTAGTTTTGACATGTTTTAATGGGTGAACTGAAGTAGTTTTAACATATGTTTTTGTAGGTGAGTTGAAGTAGTTTCAACATATGTTGTTATGGGTGACCTGAATTAGTTTCAACATATTTTGTTATGGGTAAGCTGAAGTAGTTTTGACATATGTTTTTGTAGGTGAGTTGAAGTAGTTTCAACATATGTTGTTATGGGTAAGCTGAAGTAGTTTCAACATATGTTTTTAAGGGTGAGCTGAAGTAGTTTTGACATATGTTTTTAAGGGTGAGCTGAAGTAGTTTTGACATATGTTTTTATGGGTGAGCAGAAGTAGTTTCAACATATGTTTTTAAAGGTGAGCTGAAGTAGCTTCATCATATGTTGTTATGGGTGAGCTGAAAGAGTTTCAACATATGTTGTTATGGGTGAGCTGAAGTAGTTTGAACCTATGTTTTTATGCTAATTTAATCCAGTAGGTTAAAATGTTTTAAAAATCTGCCCTTGGACATTGAAATCAGTTTGAAGTGAGTTAAGACCATGAGGTTTTGAGGCCAATCATTTGTGTAGCATTAAAGGAAGAATTTTTTTTCATATTTGATTTTGATCTATTAAAGTTACCTTTGTTGTTCTTCATACTTGTTCAAAAAAACCCAGAATGCCATTTGGTCAGTCTTTTGTTTTACACTCTGGTTTAATTTTATTGCATTGTTTCCACTGACTGTTGTTGTTTTAAACCCTAAACAGTTTTGGAAAGAATTCAGAGAAAAGCTACAACGATGCTTTCAGGTTTGGCAGGGTTATCGTAAGGGGATGGGTTGTAATATCTTGACATATTTCTGTTGGAGAGGAGAAGGACTTTGGAGTAAAAGTTTGAGATTTCTAAGATTGTTAGAGGTTTGGAATTCATAAATCCAGATGATTTTTTTATAAAACTCTGTAGGCAGTAAGACTAGAGTATAAAAGTTTAGGATGGAAAAAGAAAAACTCCAGTTAAGGCTGTGTTAGTTTTCTAATAAGGTGGTTGGTCTACAGAAATTGCAGCATTGAAGGAGTTTAGGAGTAAATAGGATGAGTATTTTAGAAATTGAGGCTGGTTACAGGAAAAGGGTTTGGAGTAAGGTGATAGGAGAAAATGGGATAGTCTAGATTGGCTAAATGGCCCCTTTTTATCCATAGGAAATGAAATGGCTCTTCAATATGTTTGTTTTGTTTGTTACTGTTTGATTTTGCAGTAATTCAATATATTATTTTCACATATTCCCAAACATTGATATAGGTTTGTAATCACATTGTAAATCAAAAAGAGGTTTCATATGATCTCTGATAACATGGCTATTTTGCTAGAATATCGAAATTTATCTTGACTTCACAAAATGGAAGTTTTAGTTGTTTTTTATACATCCAAACACTAGATTTTATTGCTATGTATGCTCTTTGATTATGCTACATTTAAACACTGGTAGGTTTAAGAATTATAGGTAAGTTACAAAAAACACAAATATTGATAATTAAATTTAAGACTAGTAAAAATTGGACTGCTTATACCTCAAACAGAATGAAGTTGTAATATATGAAGTAAAATGTTTGATTTTGAAGTTAAGTGGATATTGAATGAAGGTCACTGTTTGCATTGATGCATTTTTGATGTACAAAATACACACATTTTAACTCTGGGGACAGAAGAAATTGCTCTCTGATTTATTCCATTGATGCAAACTAAAATTACCTTCATGTTGCTCTTGTAATCCTATTCATTATTAGGCCCATTACCTAATACAAGGTTGGATCACCTTTATTTATGATAATAACTGGATCCAGTGTTGTATGACCTCTAGGAGATGTGGAGATGTATTTTGATAGATTGTAGTCTATTACTGAAGGATAATGACCTGTAGGTAATTCATAGATGTTGGTAGAGACTTGTTGAAGCCTGTATTTACTGATGATATTACTGCTAAATAGATTGCAACTATCATGCCCCTTTGAGAGTCAGAGAAAGATCATTGCTCTTACCCAATGTCTTGCAGACTTGCCATTATATTATTACAAATCAAGTAGTCACTTGATACACAATATGATCAGTCTAATTTTTACATATGCAAGTAAATGTTGTGTTCCACAAAAAGTTTGAGGGTATCCTAATAAAGTAGCTAGTTAGAATAAGTGCTTTATGAATAAAAATAATAATGACATATATTATATAATTTGTAAAGCTTGGTGTAATGTGTATGTTTACTGGTACACTGTGGACTAGTTGAGGCCAACCATTCATGTTAGATTAGTAAGGTGACAAAGTTTTATACTTCATTAAGGTTTACTTAGTTGTTAAATATTTATTCATGATATTACAGGAGACCATACCATAGATATCAGAATGGCTGATCAGTTTATTGGACAAAGTCCTTACCTGGTGAAGGTTTTCGACTCTACCAAAGTCAAAGTTACAGATGTAGGAAAAGGAGTTGTGGGTAAACCTGTCTATTTCAGCAGTAAGTTAAGAGTTCAGACCTTTTTTTTTATGGTTTTTCTGGTACTCTCTAGAAATTAATAATAATGTAAGTTATTTGAATAAGCATATAAATAATATCTTTTAATGAATTGTTTTTCTGATAAAATGTTCAAATCTAAGTTATAATCTACTAAATATCTTTTATTTTGGAACTAAAGATTCCTTTTTTATGTGTGTTTAAAGAAAAAACCTAAAATCACGAAAGAAGGATTAAGATTTTACATACACTTGAATTGCTCCTATGTGCTAAAACTAAGGAGAAGTTACTTCTGATTCTGATAATAATCAAGATAATGTTTTTTTAAAATAAGATTAAGTTAATAACAATTTACCACAGTATTTTCTTTCTTCATTCAAGTTGATGCCAGTGAAGCTGGAGCTGGGAACCTGGAAATAAGTGTTTCAGTGGAAGGAAAGAATGTGCCAAACTATGTACAGTCTGAAGGAAATGCACAGTTTAGGGTGAACTTTAAACCTTCAGATCCACAAACACACATGTTAAGTGTGAAGTTTAATAAACAGCATGTGCCAGGTAGCACATTCTTTGGATTTTTTTTTTAAGTTGCTATAGATTACTGTTGCAAATTTACATGTATTATCAAGGGATGTGGTAGCAGTGACATAGCCAGGTTTTTCACGTCGGGGGGGGGGGGGGGGTGTTAAGGGGGGGCCAATAAAATAAAAAGCTGAAATTGTTCAAAATTTTTAATAACATGGTCATTAAAACAAATCACATCAAATGTAATAGTTTATAAAAGTTTATTAAATGATACAAAACGAGTTTATTATATATAAAAGCAGAAAAATAATGTATGATTAATATGCCTAGATTTTTTCAGGGGCTAGTCCCTCCTGACTATGCCTCTGGGTGGCAAGGGGCTGAAAATGCTCTAAAATATGCCTTTGTCTTCTTTGTAGCCCCACATCTAGTGAAAAATGCTTACTGTTAAAGCTGATTCACTTCCTAAATACTACAGTATGTGTGCCCACAAAATGTAGAGTGCATCCCTCTTAATTTTCTGTCTAGCCTCAGCCCCCTCACTGAAGAGAGGCTGGTTTCACCCATCTGTATTGTAATTGCTTAATGCCATAATATTAGTTTTTAGAAATTTCAGCAAGTTAGCAGATTGGAGAGTCTTCAGTACAATAGTAAAAAAAACAAGAAACTTCTGGTCGGTGAGAAACCAGATTAATGTTTTGTTTAGGGCAATGAAAAAACATGGGAAACACAAGTTAACCAAAAATAAAAACTTTTGGCCATTTAAAGCAAAGAAGAAGAAAAACAATCAAATAAAGAAAATAGACATACCTGGGTTTATAGAGGGTCTTGGCTCTCCTTATTCTGGGCACTATCAAGTACTGTAATAGTCTAACTCATTGTTTTTGGACTATAGAAAGAACTTTTATTTTATTTTGTATTATATATTTTCTTTCATTTATGACATATGAAGTTTAGAAAGTGAGTCATTAGAGCCTAGGAATTACGATGTAGTTTTGAATGTTAGCATTCTGACCAATCACTCTTTAACACTACATGTAAGCTCTGTTATGCTTGTGAATGAAAAATATTCTTTTATTTACCTGTGAAATGCATTAGATCAGCTCTAACGAATTTGTTTCTATCTAAAGGAAGTCCCTTTTACATAAAGATGATGAACAGTTCCCAGCCTTTAGTGTCTGGGACTTCTTTGAAAATGACTTCTGTTTCACGTGGAGCCAATTTCACTGTAGACACACATGGACAAGAAAATATGAAGTGTGACGTAGAGGTGACTGGTCAGTAGTATTCTTTGTAACATAACTAGTGGAAACACGAGTTGTGATTAAAATAATATTATATTGTTCGTAAAAGCATTCTAATTTCGTTACAAAAGAAGAAATAAATTAAAAATTAGGCATTAACTGTATAGAGTGCAATTGCATAATCTGAGATCAATAGTTTACTGTACGTGTATTAAAGTATTTATTCATTTAAAAAAATGATGTATAAAGTTTTAATTGATGTCTCTTTAAATAAAATATCTATAGAATAATAATATTTTGTTAAGACGATATTAACTTTCAGTACATAAGAACTTTGCTTACAGTTTACAATGAATGCCACATTTAGTAATTAATATTAACTTCCGACCAGAGTAAGTTATGTATTTTCTGTATTGGCTTAGTCATAAAACAGAAGAGCTGTGTTTACTGTTGTATTTGTAAAGGAACGTAAGACTTTTTAGTAAAGTTTTATTTTCAAAAATAGTACATTAAAAATTTGGAAATGTGAATTTCAGCTTTAGGTTAAGAAAATGTTATTAATAGTTCTTTATATTTCTGGAATCCTGATAAATATGTATAGAACACTGTTATGGTTTTGGTTTGGAGTTTTTTTTCTCTCTAATTAATATATTAAGTTGCCTTGTAATCTTGTTGCAAGTAACCCATTCGTAAACTGTCTTTGAATTTTAGTTAGAACAAAATGATCATCTTTTATGTCTCTATTTGTTGCTCTTTACATATGAAAAAGTAATGAATCAATTAAATCAGAATTATTTATTTGAGAACGTACTTTAAGGATGCTGTCCAAAATGCCCAGTTTCTACCTTATTAAGGTTGCTTAGTGATTTAAAGTATTCATTTTTGCTCATTTATTACATTTTGCATTTCCTTGTTTGTTTGTGTTTGCGTTCAAAGTTATATGATGGGTTATCTGTGCTATACCCACTAGTATCAAACCCTGATTTTTAGTGTAAAAGCTCTCAATCTTACTGCTGAGCCACTGGAGGACAGCATTTGTATGTAAATAAATCAACTTCAACCAAACTTGACATATGTATGTAAGTCAGATTAAAATTGCTGTTGTTCTATTTCTAAAAAGGATAAAGTGCAGATAAGAATTTTTGGATGTCTTATGATTGTTAATGTTATGCTAGCCATCAAATAAATGTATTTTTTTTTTGTAAATTTGCTCCATTGGGCTTATTTTTTTCCTATTGTGCTTGTTTTTATATTTTCAAAATATTCAGAAAAAATTCAAAAAAACTAAACCTGTTAATAGCGTAACAATCACTATCATGGATTCTTTCTTTTCAGCTCCTTCAGGTAAAACACTTCCTGTAGACATCAAAGCCTCTTCTTATACAACCTTTAATGTGTATTTTTCAACATCTGAAGTTGGTACGTGCAAAGAAAGGATATTTTCTTTCAATAAATACAGATGCTTTATTAGTGTTGATCATTTACGTATTTGCTCATTATTTTCATTTGTGATTATGCAAGAAACAGGGTTTTTAGGAGAACAGGATAATAAATTTGAAATAACTGTGTTAGTTTTTCTTGAACCAAACATATTGCTAACTTTGTAACTGGTTGTGTTTGGGGTTGTCTTCGTGATGTACCATTTGAATATAAAGCCAATGTATGTTCGGGTTGTTTGATAGCAAAGATTTATTCTTTTTTATCAAGCAGAAGCTTATACGTATCATAGGTTCACTTTGTTAAATAGAAAATAATAATATTTTAAAATCTAATTTTAAAGAATATTTTATGAAGAGTAGCATAGGTTTAATTGAAAGTTAATTTTATGAATTCTAATGGCAGTTATTAAGAGGAATATAGCCATAAAACAATTGTACAGAACTTCAATTTAGTCAAAAAGTCAAAATTTAGTCATTAAAGATTACACTATATAATTCTTTCATTCTAGTCACATACTATTCCTGAATTTGTATCTGTGGTACTTAAATTTATACATAAAATGTATTAATTATTTATACTCTTAAATATCTTGAAAAGATAGTTTTGTTAATTAAGTGCCATGATGCAAAGAGTATTTTTATTTGAGGATATTAAATTTTAAGCATATTAAACAGTGGAACATATTTCTATGTGCTCTTGCCATATACAGGTACGTAAATAAAACACTGGGTGACTCTTGCCTTAAATGGAAAAAAATGAAAAGAATGTTGTATGATTCTAGTTCATTCAAAGAATATTAATTACCCACATTGAAATATGATACACATACAATTGTACAGCACCAACACGAAAGAAAAAATTAAATATGTTCACTGATTTTAATGTTATTGAATTCTTAGGACCCCATTTGGTGACAGTTATGTTAGATGGTATGTCTGTACCTGGCAGTCCCTTTACTTGTAATGTGTATGATGCCACCAAGGTCAGAGTGACCAACCTCTTGCCAGGAGTAGTTGGGAAATCTGTAACATTTCAAGGTATTGTGTTTTATTAATCTATTTATAAGTGGAGAACATTTAAACTCTTGTGTTGCTTGTACATTAACATGTATTGTTTTCTAATCTAATGCAAGGTCCCCAAACGCTTTAGCTTAAATCTCCCCATGACTTTAGACCCTGGATGAAAACCCCACCTAACTATTGAATAGGTATTGTAACTACTAAACACTCTAAGATACCTTATTTTAATTGCAATTTGTTCTGTTGTTTGGGAAAAAAAAATCTCAAGCGTAAACATTGTTGTGTAGTTGTATTATTGCAAGAAACAAACTTCTCACTGGAATTATTGATTTGTCTGTTGTTGGGGAAATTTTTGTAGGGAATATTTCTACATGTGCTGAAGTCTCCCATAGATCTTCTTACGGACCCCAGTTTGGGAACCACTGTACTTTCAGATCTTGAGTTTCCTATCCTTCGAGAAACTTTCATGAGTTGTAGTGCATTTAAAAGAGATCCGTTAACCTACTTGAAGCTGTAACAGAATAAGATATTTTAATAATCAAGAAACGTAAAACTTGAAAAACATTTTTTTTTTACAATGGAATAAATGTAAATGTATATGAAACAGGATATTGCCACATTGTAGAACTGCAGACATTTGAAGAGCATATGTTTATTATTGTTGTGTTATACTTATTAAGTATCTTTCAATCATAGGTAAGAGAAGATTTTAAGCATTTTCCTCAGAAATTTTAAACAAGTTTTATATATATATTTTGTCAATTACAAATCAAAAATTATTTAATTTTTGCTATATATTATTTCAGTCGATGCATCTCAAGCTGGAGAGGGTACTCTAGAGCTCATAATTACAACCCACAAGTCTTCTGTCCATGCAGAAGTTGCAACAAGACGTCGAGGTGTATATGATGTGACTTTTGTACCACAAGAGGAAGTTCCACACTATGTTAATATATCTTTCAATGAAGAAGATATTCCAGGTAAGGATATTTATGTTTGTACATAAGTGAGCATAATGAAAACTGGGTTGCATTTTTAATGAAGCCTTAAGCCTAAATTTTTGTTTTTCTTAGACTTAATATATGTATATTAGTCATATAATATATATATATATATTAAGCAATTCATAAATAAGAAGCAGTGGGAAGCTAAACTGTTTTAGGTTTAGGTAGTGTTGAGGTCATCTTAGGAATCTTTTATGGATTCAGAAGACAGGTTCAAATCTTATTTTCAGATAATGAAAATAAGATAATGAAAGTTATAGCTCTATACTGTGTTTTTACCAATGAAGAAATAGACCACTTCTCTATTTCTATTTTACACAGGTTTTTTAGCTTTATCTTCTTGGTAGTGCTTTTATGAGAGTCTTTACAGGTATCATACAGGTATTATACCCCAAAATTGCAGCCTTTGTTTTGTCTGAGGCTAAAGCCAAAATGTAATATAATGAACTAAGATTTTTAAGAGAAAAGGATCATATTTCTTATTTATTTTTTGTCTCCAAGTGGTGAAGTTTTCAGCATACTAAGGAAGAAATGATTGTTTTTTTTGTATAAAACAAGCTAGACTGCAGTGTTTAATGTTAATTTTTATAATATGCTCTAGACAGTAAACTGGGTGCTAATAACAACTGCTTGACTAACCATCCTTAAAAACAGCTTAAACTAAATCAACTGAAATTATCGTGTTTAAAAAAAAACTAATGTGAGGGGGTTATGGACCTGTCCTAAGAAATTATTGGAGATGATATAGCTGTAGAAAATCTAACTAAGAAGACTAGTTTTGTAGTTTTGAATATCATAAGAAATAAAACAACTTATTCTGCATGTTAGCTTGTACTTGAGCAAAATTATTCATATCTTAAAAGTAAATATTTCTGAAGGATTTGCAAGATGTTTTCTTTCTGACAGTTTAGGAACTGTCTATGTTCTGAATAATTGTACTTATAATAAAAAGTTTACTTAGAGTAGATCTTCTTTTACAGTAGGTTTAAGTAGTTTCTTATCCATAGAATGGCCCAGCATGGCCTGGTGGTTAGGGTGCTCTACTCGCAATCTGAAGATAGTGGGCCCGAATCCCCGTCCCACCAAACATGCTCACCCTATCAGCCATGGGAGTGTTATAATGTGATGGATGATACAACTATTCGTTGGTAAAAGAGTAGCCCAAGAGTTGACAGTGGGTGGTGATGACTAGTTGCCTTCCCTGTAGTTTTTTTCTACTAAATTAGGGACAGCTAATGCAAATAGCCTTTGTGTAGCTTTACGCAAAATTCAAAACAATACCAAATCAAACTTATCCATAAAAGATTCCTAAGATTACCTCAACACTACCTAAACCTAAAACAGTTTAGCTTCCCACTGCTTCTTATTTATGAAT